TGTTGCCAGTATTTTTATTGCTTTTATGGAGAAATGGATTTATGGAGGTCCTTCCTCCACCATTCTAGAACTTCCTTTTGTTATATATAATTTCTAAGACCAATCCTTCCTGTTGTTGTTGTTAGGTGTTGTCAAATTGACTCCGACTAATAGCGACCCTATGTACAACCAGGGAGCTCTGGTAGCATAGTGCCTAAGGCACTTGACTGCTAACCAGAAGGCTGGCCGTTCAAACCCACCAGCCACTCCTCAGAAGGAAGGTTGGGCAATCTACCCCAACCAAGTGATACTGCCTCGGAAACCCAAGGTGGGATCGCTATGAGTCACGTCCAACTTGACAGCACATAACAACAACAACAACAAATGTACAACAGAATGAAACACCACCTGGTCATGCACCATCCACACAATCCTTGCTATGCTTGAGCCCATTGTTGCAGCCACTGTGTCAATCCATCTTGTTGAGGGTCTTCTCCTTTGTTGCTGACCCTCTACTTTACCAAGCATGACATCCTTCTCCAGAGAAGTGTCCCTTCTGACAACATAACCAAGGTAGATGAGATGAAGTCTGGTCATTCTGGCATCCAAGGAACATTCTGGCTGCTCTTTTTACAGGATAGACTTGTTTGTTGTTCTGGTAGTCCATGGTATTTTCAGTATTCTTCACCAATACCATAGGAGCTCTGGTAGTGTAGTGCCTAAGGCACTTGACTGATAACCAGAAGGCTGGCAGTTCAAATCCACAAGCCACTCCTCAGAAGGAAGATGGTACAATCTACTTCCATATTGATACTGCCTCAGAAATCCAGGGAGGGGTCGGTATGAGTCAAGTCCGACTCAACAGCACGTAACAACAACAACAACACCATAATTTAAAGGCATCAACTCTTCTTCAATCTCCCTTTTTCATTGTCCAGCTTTCACATACATATGAAGCAATTGAAAATTCCATGGTTTGGGTTAGGCGCACCTGAGTCTTCAAAGTGACATCTTTGCTCTGTAACACTTCAGATAGGTCCCTTGCAGCAGATTTGCCCAATACAATACAACATCTGATTTCTTGACTGCTGCTTCCATGGATGTTGATTGTGGATCCAAGTAAAATGAAATCCCTGACAACTTCAATCTTTTCTCCATTTTTTAATGTTGCTTATTGGTCCACTTGTGAGGATTTTGTTTTATGTTGAGGTATAATCTATACTATAGACTATAGCCTTTAATTTTCATCAGTAAGTGCTTCAAGTTATCTTCACTTTCAGCAAGCAAGATTGTGTCATCTGCATATTGCAGGTTGTTAATGTGTCTTCCTCCAATTCTGATGCCACATTCTTCTTCATATAGTTCAGTTACTCAGATTATTTGTTCAGCATGTAGCTTGAATAAGTACGGTGAAAGGATATGACCCTGACTCACTCCTTTCCTGATTTTAAACCATGCAGTATCCCCTTGTTCTGTTTGAATGACAGATTCTTGGTCTATGTACAGGTTCTTCATGAGTATAATTAAGTGTTCTGGAATTCCCATTCTTTGCAACGTTATCCATAACTTGTTATGATCCATACAGTCAAATGCCTTTCTATAGTCAATAAAACACAGATAAACATCTTTCTGGTATTCTTTGCTTTCAGCCAAGATCCATCTGGCATCAGCTATGATATCCCTCATTCTGCATTCTCTTCTGAATCTGGCTTGAATTTCTGGAGTTCCCAATCAATATACTGCTGTAATCATTTTTAAATTATCATCTTCAGCATAAGTTTACTTGTGTGTGATATTAATGATATTATTCAATAATTTCTCCCTGATGTTGGATCACCTTTCTTTGCAATGGGCACAAATATAGATCTCTTCTAGTCAGTTGGCCAGGTAGCTGTCTTCCAAATTTCCTGGCATAGAATAATAAGGGCCTCCATTGCTGCATCTGTTTGCTGAAACATCTCAATGAGTATTCCATCAGCTCCTGGGGCCTTGTTTTTCATCAGTTTCTTCAATGTAGCTTGGACTTCTTTATTCAATACCATTGGTTCTTGATCATATGCCACCTCCTGAAATAGTTGAACATCAACATATTCTTTTTGGTACAGTGTATTCCTTCCATCTTCTTTTGATGCTTCTTGCATCATTCAATATTCAGTCCTGCCTAGGTATTAATGAATAAGGGAGGAATTCATTGGAAATAAGATTAGAGAACTATCTTCATCTTGGAGGTATCTGAATTAAAAAGAAAGAAAGAAAAAGAGTCTGAAAGGATGAAAATTTTGTTTTAGGATCCAAAGAATTGTTCCAAAAAATATTAGGGTGACATAAGAGCCCATGGTAAAAGTTAGTGGGCTGTCAAGACATATACCAAAGTCCCCGATGCCTGGCTCAGTGCCTTCTTGTCCAACTACCCTAAGAGATGCCTTTTTCAAGGAGATGGAGCCACCACCATATTTTGAATACTTCCTCTAACTAGAGGTTTCTTACTCATTATCCTTACAACTCACCAGCAAAGAAAATTATCTTATTTCTACTTTACACAAGCAATAGAGGCTTACAAATGCCCCATCATATGCCCAAGGTTAGCACACTTGTAGATGGAGAGGGTATCCCACTCCAGAGCAGAAGGTCTCTGACTCCATCAAGCCCCATGCCCTGACCCTCTGGCTGGCTGTGGGGTAGGCAGGGAGGCTGTCTGTGGAGGTTACTATCATTATAGTTTTGAGGACAATTTTATGAACCCTCTTTCATATAGCTCTCTCCCCCAGGAGATGCTTCCCCACCAGTCACAGAGCAGGGTACAACAGTAAAGTAATAGGTACAGCTTTGCCCTCTGTCACCAACACCTGTTGAGGTGGCATCCCAGATCAAATCCACCCTTCAGGCAGGAGCTAAAGCCTCCAAGCAGGCCCCCAATGACAAAAATGGCAGGAGTAAAGCCTCCTTGGGACTTCAGGGCTAGAAGTGTAGGACTGTCCTCTTCACATTCTCAGCAGAATAAAGTTCATGAGCCTGAGTGTCCAGAGCCCCATCCAGTCCCTGCAGCCCAAGGTGTGTGTGGAGAACAGGAGCCATGTCCCTATGTGCCTGGGATGCTGCCCAGTTCACAGCTCTGCTCCCTCCCACTAACTGCAACAAAGGAGACATATTGTTAGAAAAATTTTCATGGAAGACAAACTTTATTTTTTTTTTTTACATGATTGTTCTGGTTACCTAGTGCTGCTCTAACAGAAAATACCACAAATGGGATGGCTTGAACAAACAGGAGTTTATTCTCTTACAGTTCAGGAGGCTTTAAGTTCGAGTTCAAAGTGCCAGGCTCTAGGGGCTGGGTAAAAGCCCCTTGACCTTGGGCTTCAGCTCTGCCTCTTACTCCCAGCCCACTGAAGCTAGAGGCATCTCTTCACTCAGGCAGCTACTGACTGCTGAGCTAACAAGCTCAAAGTCGACAAATAAAATGACACAGTCCTGATATTAGCAAATCACATGGCATGCCATTAATTCAAGTCCATTGAAAGCCCCAAGGTTGGCAGAGCATGGCAGGCTGCTGAACAATGACATGGCTACATGCACGGTTCAAGCATTTCATAAGCTAGAGACTATCTCCAAGGCTTCTCTTTATATACAGGAAGCAGACCACATACCAAAGGCAGCTACTCATGGTAGATCCCACCATAGAGTTGATTGCCAGTCTCATCATGGGAAATAACTACCACCAGCTGCCCAGACACTCAGCCAGCCCAGCGAAGTTGACATACAAATTTAACTACCACAATGATGTTGACTTTACTATCATTTTTTTAATTGTAGTTTGGGTGAAAGTTACAGAGCAGATCAGTTTTCCATTCAACAATTTATACACATTTTGTTTCATGACATTTGTTGCAATCCCCTCAATGTAATTGTATACTTGCCACATCCTTTCTGGGTTCCTTGTTTCCATTTTTCCTTCTTTCCTGCCCCTTTCTGCCTTATGAGCTTTATTTTTGGAGAAATACTGCCCTTTTGGTCTCATATGGTTGATTGTACAGAGGAGAACATTCCTCCCTGGTGTTATTATTCAATTTATAGGCCTATCTACTGTTTAGCTGAAAATTGATCCTTGGTGGTGGGTTAAGTTACAGAATTGAAGAATGTCTAAGGGCCATAGTTTGGGGGTTCCACCAGTCTCTATCAGACCAGTAAGTCTGGTCTTTTTATGATATCGAGTGACAAAAATTTACTTCAATACCTGAGGTATTGGCAAGGGTATAACCATGCGACAAATAGTACACACTCATGTTTCATCATCTTCAATTGCCCAATCTCATTGGGGTCTCACAAGCATCCTGTGAGGTAAGCAGGGCAGGTTCCTGCAGATCCACTTTACAGAGAACTCAGAGGTGACCTAGCTTTCCACAGGGGACTATACACATTCCCCCCGATGCCTCCCTGCATCTGATTCAGGTTCCTCAATACTTCGGGTTGTAGAGGGCTTCCAGCAAACACAGGCAGATGCCTCCACTTCCTCAGCAATAAAATGAGGGACCAGACCACCCCTTCTCTGACTAGAGTTCCTTCTTAGTGGCATGCATAGGTTTTTAGATACCTAACTTTTGTCCTCTGAGTTTATGAGTACCAGGGATTGCTAGATCTGTGGTAGCTATGTCAACTAGCCAGCCAGAAGTCTTGGCAAGCCCTGAGCACAAATGAAGCTGGAGCTAAGCAGAGGGGACATAAGTCCCCTGACCCATTGCTGATGCCACTTTCTGAGGCCAGACACCCTATCAGGGGATAGTTCTAGAATGGGCAGGAGAAGGGATTCTCCTTGCTCCACTGGCCCTACCCTCAAACATCTGTTGGTGAAAAGGTGAGAGAAATGGTCATTGCTCCCTTTGTCTCCCTCTCTCTGTTGTGCCTGGTGCTGGCTCTCCTCCATGATTCTTCTCTAGAAAGAGGGCAGGGCTGCACCCCGTCCCTCTGCAGGGGCTCAGCTCAGGACCAGGCCCGATCTGCTACCCACAACAGAAGGCCTTCTCTGCTCATGAGCCTTCTTCAGACCTCAGAGCCGGAGGGCCCTGCATCTGTGTCACTGCTTTGATCTCTCTGCGGCACACCGGGCACTTGGCCGTATCCCTGAAGATTCTCCAGGCACAGGAGCTGCAGAAGTGTTTGTGGCCACAGGGGTGAAGACAGGTGTTGGCAGCATGGTGGAAGCAGATGGCACACTCCTCTCCTGCTACGGCTGGAGAAAAGGAGACCAAAGATCAGGTGCATATGGGAGCAAGGGGCAACCTACTCATGAGATAAACCACATGACAGAGAACTATGCAGTCATATTTTAAAGGACATTTATCTCAGAAAATGTTTACAATGTAATCAAGTGAAAAAAAATGGATAGAAAACATAATACATACATACATACATATCATAAAATTCCAATTTAGAAAACAAGGAAAATAAAACACAAACAATGTCTCATATATATATATATATGACTGAAAAATACTCGAAGGAAACCTACCTAAGAGGTAACAGTTAACTCAGCATGAAGATAATGGGTTAATTTTTACCTTCTTCTTTATTCTTAATATTTAATTAATTTCTTTTATGAAAAATATCTGTTGTGTTTTCCGTGAAAGTTTACACAGCAAAATAGGTGCCCATTTGACAATTTCAACACAAGTTGTTCAGTGACATAGGTTCCATTCTTCACAATGAGTCGACATTCTCATTGTGTTCTGCTTGTTCCCTTTCCAGCACTCTAGTTTCCCCACCTTCTTGTCTTGTCATCCTTGCTTTAGAGTAATTGTTGACTTTTCAGTCTCATATAGATGGTTCTTTAATGGAACCCCATACTCTCAGGTAACATCCTTTATTTTGTGTGTCAATCTGTTATTTCACTCACTAAAAGGTGACTTTGGGATAGTTTCAGTTCAAGATTTAAAGAGAATCTCGGGGCAATAGTCTCACAGAGTCATCCAGTCTCAATTGGTCCAATAAGTCTGGACATTTTAAGAATTTGAGTTCTATTCCATATTTTTCTCCCATTCTATCTGAGTCCATCTATTATGGCCCTGATCAATATGGTCAGTAGTGGTAGTTGGGCACCATGTAGTTTTTCTGGTCTCAGGGTAGATGAGCCCATGGTTTGTGCAGATTATTACTCCTGTAGGCTACTTTTTTTTTCTCTGAGACTTCTGTAAAATTAAATTTATTTCTATTTGGCAAAGTTTTTATAATGAGTGTGGGATATGCTTTTAAAGCAGGAACAAAATATTATCCGGCCATCATGAATATGCTCTAGTAATGCAAAGTTAGCCATGTTCTAGAAAGCAGAGCTGTTAAATTGCTTTTAGGTGTTCAGTAGGCAGAGCCAAGTCTTTTGGCCCAAGCCCGATGAACCTGAGCCATGTTGGAGACTTTACTGGGACTCAGAGAGACACTACCAAGTTCCCAGGGTTGGGCCTATCTCAATTCCCCCACCCCAGTGCTGCAGTCCTGGGGAGTCCCTGGTGCTCAGGGAAGCCACTCACCTTCAGGCTCAGACACAGCATCATCACCAAGGAAACGTGGTTTGGTGGTGGGGAATGGTCTGGCTGTGTGGTCTATGGAAGAAAGGAGAAGCTCAGAGCACAGGTTGAGCAAACCCAGGTGTTCCCATCCCACCTGACCCCAAGGCAAGGTGTCCATGTCCTTTCTTTTGTGGGTCTCAGGGCTGGAGCTTCTGGCTGATTTTAAGGTCCTGCCTTGGCTTAACCCTTCCCCAGCTTAACCCAGAACAGGCCCAAATTCATGAGGCTGTAGATTCTTCCTCCAAACTGCCCTTCCTGCAGGCCCTCCCTCCACCCTATTGCCACTGCCTGGGTGCAAATCCTCAGCAATAGCCACATCCCAGAAGTGGAGCCACTTCCCTGAGAAAGCAAGGAATACACAGATGCTTGGGTCCCACTCAGGATCTACAGAATCAGGCACTCTAGGACTGAGGCTGCAGCTGCTGAGATGATTTTTAAAAACAAAATCTCTGGGTACAGGGGTTGGACTGCCTGTGTAGACCCATGGACCTCCAGACCAGAAATGCTAATATTTCTTTTAATGGGTATTCCCTGCTTCTACTGCTCCCCTGAAATCTATTCTCCTCTTGTGTGGCCAGAGGAATGGTTCTTATTTCCCCAGCACTGACTGGACTCTCTCTTCTCCCCACAGGTAGTCCTCTTCTGCACCTCTAAACTCTTAAACTTGCTATTCCCTCTGCTTAGCGCATGCTTGGCTCCTAGTAAACTCTTACTTAGACTGCAAAGCCAAGGCAATTCTTCCTTTGTGAGATGTGATGAGCCCTTTAACAGATGTTTGGGGTGCTGATCTTATTATAATCCATTAGGGGCAAGACATCCCTATGACTGGCTGGTCTTGTCCATCTGATATCCGTAGCACGTGTCTCCATACCTGACACTGGACAGGGGTTGATGGAACTGACTGAGTATGAATGAATGTATCAGTGGGTTTTCCTGCAGTCCTGGACGGGAGTGAGGTGCTACCTTAACTTCCACCTTCCTCCCGTGAGTGGTCCCTGGGCCCCCACAGGTTGCCTCACCCAGCAGTTCGATGGCCTTGGTGGTCCCATACACGTCCATCACCGCCCAGAGAGGGGCGCCCACACGCACACCTCTGCGCAGCAGGATCCGAGGGCCCCCGTTGACCTCAGCGAAGAGCTGGCCCCGACGGTTCACCCAGAAGCAAACCACATCCCCCAAGAGCGGGCAGCCCTCAGGCAGCACAGCCGCCCACGTAGGGCTCTGCTCCTCCAGGTCAGGACACACGAAGGGCGGCAGGCTGAGCGCGGGCACCCGTGCGGGGTCCAGGCGCGTGAAGCCCACGCGGAGGCCGCCGCACCAACAGTTCTCTTGCCGCAGCACACGCAGCGTCACGCGCTCGCCGGGCTGCACAGGTCTCTGGCTGAACACGATGGCGTCGTGGAAGGTGGCAAGGCGCCGCGCAGTGCAACGGCGTGTATCCAGACACACCTGTGTGCCCTTGGCCTCAGGGTGGAAGCGAAGTGCCTCGCATGGTGTCTCGGTGCCTGGGGTAGCGGGAAGGGTGGGACATCAATGCAGGGCAAGAGGGCCCTGGACCCACCCATTCCCTCAAGCCACCTTAGGAACCAGCTTCCCTGGACCATCTTGACACCCCCCACCAGCACCGTAGGCCTGCCTCAACACCGCCTGCCCCCTCCCCACTTCCAATGCACACACACCCTGCCCCGCCATATCAACCTCCCTTAATTCCCAGTCCCCCCACCATCACTGCAGTTGCCCTCAGGACTCCCAAGATCTCCTTAGAGCCCGGTAGGAACCCTGCTTTGCCTGTCCAGAGTCTGAGTTCCTGCCATGACCTCCCTAAGCCTCAATTTTCTTTTTGCAGAGATGTCTTGATGATGAAAGGAACTGGTGCCTGCATCTGTTGGCCTACCTAGTAATGATTTTTAATGTTGTTAAATAGAGCAGAGTTTAGAACAGAAAATATAATATCCTATTTTTGTTAGCTACACACATGCACATACTACACACGAATACGTGTTCTTAGTTATCTGTGCTGCTAGAAGAGAAACATCACAAGTAGATGACCTTAACAGAATTTATTTTCTCATATTTAAGAGGCTAGAAGTCTGAGTTCAGGGTGCCCACTCTAGGGGAAGTTTTTCTCCCTCTGTTGGCTCTGAAGAAAGGTCCTTGTCTCTTCTGAGCTTCTGCTCCTGGGCGATCTTCAAGGGGCCTAACAGCTCTTTTCCCTCATCTCTACTGTTGTTGTTGTTATGTGCCATCAAGGTAGCCCCAGACTCATAGTGACTCCTCCTTGGGTTTCCAAGGCCGTATCACTACGGAAGTAGATTGCCCAACCTTCCTTCCATGGAGTGGCTGGTGGGTTTGAACTACCAGCCTTCTGGTTAGCAGTCAAGTGCCTTAGGCACTACGCTTCCAGAGCTCCCTCATCTCTGCCAGGGTACTTGTTTAAACTCTTAGGTCTCCAAAGAGATTGACTCAATTTACAACCTACACTAATCCTGTCTCATGAACATAATAAAGACAGCCCATTCCCAATGGGATTATAGCCACAGGCATAGAGGTTAGGATTTACAACACACGTTTTGCAGGAAGGGGGGACGGGGCACAGTTCAATCCATAACAATGTGCTATGTGATGTATACAAACACCCTAAACAGGGATGGGCCAATCTGCTAACTGATCAGCTCTGCAAGATGGGCCAGGTGCTGGTGCTGTTTTCCTCTCTGCTTGTCAGATTTTCTGATTTTCCCAAGGTGACCCTGCATCACTTAGGAAGGAGAGAAAGGGACCAACAGCTCCCTACTGGCTGGATGATGCAGCCTGGCTAGGGGTCCCAGGTCAGCCCTTCAGAAACTGGGCTGGTCCCAGCCAAGGCCTGATATGGCTCTGAAACCAGGGAATTTCCTGACTTGACTCCACTTGGAAGGCAGGTGGGGAAAGTTCCTTACCAAATAGCCCTTCCTCCAACCCTGCAGCCTGGAGGAAACTGAAAGAGCTTCCTTCCTCATAAACGCCTTCAGGGGGCTTCCTGTGGCCTTATTTCCCACTCCAACCCCCCCTCCACTCCCGACTCTGCTCTTTCTGGGTTGTTTTAATTTGAAAATAAAAAGAAATGAATTCAATCAGGCTTTAGCCACACCCCAACCCCTTAGTCAACCCCACCCCCACCCAGTCTGGTCCTTGCCCACTGGCACCTGCACTCTCTGATCGTACTCAAACAGAGACGAGGAGGGGAAGCTCAATCAGGTCAAGCACAAGGGACACCCCTGAGATCATAGTGAATCAGCCTCTGACTTCCAAAGGCTGGAGGTAAGCCCACCATCTTCCCTCACCCCAGGTGACAGGGATAAGCCCTCATCCTGGCCTGGGGACCTCGGAGCCTGCTCCTCCCCTCTTTATCTCCCTGCTCTCACAGAGCTCCAGTGTCCACACTCACCACTCCCTCTCCCATGTCCTGGCCCTTGCTGTTGCCCCTTCCTGGAATGCATCAAAGCTCCCAGCTGGCCACTGCTATCCTTCACAACTGACAGAAGACCTACCCAGATCTCTGTTCCTCGAGGCCCTTCCTCAGCAAGGGAAAGTCCCCAAATAAGCACAGATTGTGACCCGGAGCCATCTTGGAAGGCCCTGACTCTGGGCTGGATGCTTTTGACTGTTGAGCCCCTAGGCACCGACAGGCCTTGTGGAGACGACCTCCTCCACAGAATGGGTAGACGTTTAGTACAACTGATGAACTAGGGCTCACACCTAGACCTGGCTCTGCTGCTGGCCTGGGCAGCTCACTGCCCCTCTGGTCTCAGTGTCTTGTCCACAAATGACAGGCTAGGGCCTGAAGTTTTGGGCACCTTCCCCAGGGGGCTCTTGAATGTAAGGAGTTAACTACCCCTTGGAAAGGTCTCAGGCTGTGGAGGTGGGGAGGGCAGGAAGAGGGTCTTGGGATAACTGGCCAAAACCCAGGAGGGTGGACACTGACCCCTCACTTGGCTGGGTCACTGACCATCCCTGAGGTGGGGACTGGAGAGAAGGGCTGGAATAGGCTTGATAAGGGACCGGGGCAAAGGCCTGGCACTGAATGCCAGGGAGATGGTGACCAGCATCCAAGCCCCTAGCACCTCTTTTGAGCACTCACTCTCCACATACCACCACATCAAATCCTCCCATGACCCCATGAGGCAGAAAAGACTCCTCCTGCCGGTGGGTTCTGGCCACACAGTAATCAGGGGTAAGGTTCAAATGGAGCTGCCCAGCCTCACCCAATGAAGCACCTACAGGAAACCAAAGACCCCATCATCTTTAGCTACTTGGGCCTAGACATAACCAACAGGGATGAGCTTCTGGCTTGGAGCTGTTCCCCTCCCACCCCAGCCCCTGTACACTGCCCTGGACAGCTCACTGTCCCGTGGTCTCAGTGTCCTCATCCACAAATGGAAATGACGGCCAGGACAGAGGCTGCCTTGGGGCAGGCCTAGGCTGAGGAATGGGGAGAGGTGAAATCACTTCCCTATCCACTTCCTGGAGTGGAGCCAGGGAACTGGCTGGCCACGAGGCAGTCCAGAAAGGAGGAGGAACATCCTCCAGGGCAGGGAGGCCCTGGGGACCCCAGAAGACAAAAGACAGTCTTCAAATCTCACCCCATCCCTGTCTCAGGAGCCTTCCAGAGCCCCCAGGGGCCATGTTTCCATCATCACCACAGCTAGAGGAGGCAAACAAGGTTGAGGGGATACAATCAGGCGCTGCACAGGCAATTAGGTGGCCAGTAGGCATGAGCACCCTTCTCCCAGCTGCACTCCTGGGCCCCTCTCACTGCCTGGGGCAATCCCTCAGCAACTGCCTGAGTGTGGCCATTGCTAAGTGTCGCTGGGCCTCAGCCTTTCCACATGCAGATCTCCACATGCACTCTTTGTATGGGGCTGGCTGGTTCCTGCACAAGGCTGAGGTGGAGTGGGCCTAGACCTTCCTTGCCCTGCCATCCTGGCCAAGTGCCCACAGGCTGGCATCCACCCACAGGCACCCTCCTCCACAGGACTCTGCTGCTTGAGTTTGGGGGTGGGTAACAGTGGGCATGAGAGGTATGGGTGCCCACCTGAGGCCACGTACTCTGCTTGTCTCCTCCTAAAGCCCATAGGGCCACAGGGGGATCTCCTATCCTCTGACCCAGGCAATCCAATCACACTCTGCTCATGGGGTGGGCACAGGCCAAGTCTGGCTCTCTGATTAGGCCTGTTCACGGCTGGCTGGGCTGGCACGAGAGTCAGAGCACCCTCACACCCACCTTCTCACCCACTCCCAGAGGTAGCCATTCTTACTATAAGCCCCATTTTTAGGCAAGACCCTGAGACTCAGAGAAGCTGAGTGACTTGTCCATCCATCCACCCTGCCTCCCAAGCTCCCTGGGCTGCAGGGATGGTATGGTATGCTGGGCCAACAAGGACCCACCCTGGCTGCCGGGAGCTCAAGAACCACAACTCATGGCCTTTGGGATGTCTCTACCCCTGGACAGGTGAATTCCTATCAGAGAGTCATGACTCTTGGGATCTAAGCTACAAAAGGTCAGTGAGGGCTCCCAAGATCTTCACCACATTCCTTCCAGCCTGCAAGCCTCTCCAAGTGCTGGGCACCCACTGAGCACCTCTTTCTATCATCCTCACAACCCTGTGATAAAGCACTTAGTGGGGTGGAGGCTTGACGAGGTTGTGCAAGTTGCCCACAGTCTGGCAGCCAAAAATGAGGGAACCCCAGCCCAGCTCCTCGCCCTGAGTTCTTAATGCCACATCCTTTATGGCAACATCATTGCCCCGCCTGGAATTCATAGTTGCAGCCACAGCAGCAGCTTCGGTTCCCACCTCAAGTCTGAGCGCCACCACTGCTGGTATGCAGGCTTTCGGTTTCTGCCAGGAGAGCAAGAGCCCAGCCAAGGCTTAGGGCGGTGACTCTTTGCTTATGGGGCAGGGTTCAGTGATGTGCAGCCTGATCTTGGTGATCAAAGACAAGGGACCCATCTCCTGCCCAGAGCACAGACCTTCCACTAATGGAGCAACTGTACCCTCAGGTGAGGCTTGCAGAGAACCTTCGTACCTGATGACCCTTTTGATTGGTGCATTCTGGTCATTCTGTAAGCCAACACCATGGATTACATTGTCTGCAGCCTGCATATGGGGAAACTGAGGCCCAGAGAAACGTGACTTGCCAAGTCCCACAGCTAGACCCTAACAGAGCTTGGACCCTGGCCCTTGCCTTCCACCAAACCACACAACCAAACTCACTGTCATTGAGTCAATTCCAACTCATAACGACACCCACTGGGTTGTCAAGTCTGTAAATCTTTATGGAAGCAGACTGCCTCAACTTTCTTCCATGGAGTGACTAATGGGTTCAATCCACCAACCTTTTGGTTAGCAGCCAAGTAATTTAACCAGTGGACCACCAGAGCTCCTTTGTCTTCCACCAGACCCCTTAAATTGTACTCTGCTGCCCACCACCACAGCAAGGAGCCTGTTGTTATTGTTATGTGCCATCAAGTCAGATCCAACTCATAGCGACCCCTCCTTGGGTTTCCGAGGCAGTATCACCATGGAAGTAGATTGCCCAACCTTCCTTCCGAGGAGTGGCTGGTGGGTTTGAACCGCCAGCCTTCTGGTTAGCAGTCAAGTGCCTTAGGTACTATGCTACCAGAGCTCCTAGCAAGGGGCCTAGCTGGCCCAGAT